CTTGCCTTTCTTATCCATGTTCGTCCAAAACGTTTAACAATGTCTTCTTCCCATCTTCTTGGAGGCTGACTAGGTGGTCTTTTCTGTTCTCGCGGGTACCACTCAGCAATAATTGCGGTCTACCTTTTGTCCATGAGCCGTGCTTTGTGGCCTGCCCATCGCATTTTGTTATGTCTGCTTTCCACAATATCTTTCACGCCACTGCATTCTCTAATCATTTAATTTGGAATACGATCCAGAAGGGAAATTCCCCACATAGCTCTCTCCATTGCCCTTTCAGCTACCAATAGTCGCTGCTGTTCTCTCTGCATCAGTGCCCACGTTTCGCTGCCATACAACATGGCTGGCAGCACTGCTGAATTGAAGATATTTGTACATGTGGTGTTATCGATTTTTCTTTGAAGACGTCCTTTATGGAATTGAATGCACACCATCCTGCCCGAATCCTTTGTGAGAGTTCTCCGTTCAGGTCTTGGCGCATATTAACTTCTTGGCCCAAATATATGTACTGTTCCACTTCTTCGATTTCTTCTCCTGTTATTGTTATTTGGGCTTTTCATAAGAGTCTTATCGCATGTATTTCGCTTTGCAGTGATTCATTTTCACACCGACCTGACTGCTTTTCTTGTAAAGTCTTTGTAGCATGCTCTGCAATTGGTGCTTTCAGCAATTAATACAATGTTGTCTGTGAATCTGAGATGCGATAATCATTCTCCATTTATGTTGACACCACTCCTCTAATTGATCTTGTTCATAACCATTTTGAGGCATGCAGTGAATAGTTTCAGTGAAATCATATCTCCTTGCTTCACACCTTTCTCGATTGGGATACAGAGTGGAGTTTCGATGAGAGTAATATCTCTTGTACATCCAGTATTCGCTTCCTTCAACAAATTGATATATTGTGTGTTAATGCCCTGCTCTGTGAGCGTCTTTAATATTGCATTGAACTCGACACTACTGAAGGCCTTTTCATAGTTGATGAAAGCAATGCACAGCGGAAGTTTGTATTCCCTCGCTCTTTCTAGGAGCTGGCTATGGGTAAATATATAGTCGATTGTGCTGGCTATGGGTAAATATATGGTCGATTGTGCTGAAATTTCTTCAAAACCCTGCCTGCTCTCTCGGCTGTTGTTCATCCAGGCTCTGTGAAAATCAGTTCATTACCACTTTTGTAAAGAGCTTGTAAATATGAGAAAGTAGGCATATAGGGCTGTTGTAATTCTTAAGATTTTCTCGATCGCCCTTCTTGTGCAGCAAGATGGTATTCGACTCCTTCCAGCTTGATGCTATTTTTCCGTCTTCAAGATATCGACTGAATCTTAAAGCGAGGGCCTTCCAAAGTTTTTCGCCTCCTGCAGAAATAATTTCTGACATTATTTCATCTGTGCCTGGAGCTTTTCCTGTTTTCATCTGGTATAATACGCTTCGGATTTCACTGACGATTATTGGGGGAATGTGTTCTTCTGACGCCTGGAGCATTGGGAGGGGGACTTTGATTCTTGATTTGAATAGTTCTGTATAGAAGTCCTTACAGACCACCTCTATCCCTGCTTTGTTGATTACTGTGTCTCCATCCTTGTTCTTCAGTGCTGTTATGCTCAGTCTATACTGCATCAATTCCCGCTTGCAAGTCTTGAAGCTTTTGCGTGATTCAGCTCTTTTGAGGAGTTTTTCTTTCTGGAAGTTCTCAAAGTCATCCTTCAGCTTTTGCTGTATAAACTTGCACAGAATGGAGTACTCCAAGTTGTTATTCGAGCTCCTTTTCATGTTTCTCCACTTCTTGAGCAGGCTTTTTGTTTCCTTCGAAATTCTTCCCTTCTTCGACTTTCCAATTTCAGCTGCTTTTTAAGCAACGTCTCAGCTTGTCAGCAAAGGTACTATAGTTTTCATCACACTTTTTTCTGTCTGGCTCCAGTCAAACCCAGAAATCGCTTTCTTCAGCTTTGCTTCATCGAATGTCTTCGGCCATTGTTTCCTATTTGTCATCTGTAACGCCTTCTTTTCTACCACTTCGTCAAAAATCAACTTCACTCTAAGCAAGCGATGGTCATTGCCGATACTGAAAGGCTGAACCAGAGATGTCTTGAATGATGAGCCTTTTATTGACTAAAATGTAGTTGATTTCATTCTTGCTTTTTGCGTTTGGTGCGATCCACGTCCACTTTCTTGCGATCTTCTTTTTATACCAGGTGTTTGCCACGTACAGTTCTTTCATTTCTGCCATCACTATTAACCTTTCTCTTCTTTCATTCCTTTCACCACTGCCGTATCTCCCTATGAATTTTTCGCCAGCTTTCCCTCATCTGTCCTTGGTGTTAAAGTCTCCCATCGTGACAGTGTAAGTGGACTTTTGCGCAGGGGCTCTTTCGAGCTCTCGGTAGAATTCTTCCACTTCTTCGTCCTCTCTTGCAGTTGTGGGGACATAGGCCAGGAGGACCTTGAGAGTAGCCTTTGACTCTATCTGAAGATGAAGCAAACCAATATGTGATATTAGCTGGCATGCTATAACTTTCAAAGACCAGTCCTTACTGACGATAAATCTGACTTCCCCAACGTTTCTAGCACCGTCTCCCTTTCCGAGTCTCACAGTGCTTCCATCTTTCCAGTTGACTTCCAACTCCTTCTTTCATTGCGTTTTGCAGACACCGAAGATGTCGCATCTTATCCTTTTCTTTTCCTCCATCAAACGGTTTAACATTTCCTCCCTCGCCAGCGACCTACAATTGTAAGTACACACAGCGAGGGTTGTCCTTTTCCATACTGGCAGTTTTGTCGGCCTCTCATCACTCAATTTCGACTCCACCACTGTAGAACAGTTCAATGACACTCAGGGGACTAAAACCCATTTACTCGTATTGTTTTAGCCATTGACTTCAAGCCATCCCACTGGCTAAGTGGGCAGGCGTGCGTACCTCCTCAAACTTAGCTAGCCTCCAACCTCTAAGGAGAGGGAAAAACAGAGAGCAGTCCTCTTCCTGGATTGGATAGTCCAACACCTTTGTAGCATGATTAAATCTATCAAGGCATACGCCCCACTACCATAGGTGTCCGATGGCCAGGGTCACGGCTGCGCCACAATGAGGTGTTGAGGTAGGATTTTGCAGCGGTGACCCTGGCCGTCACGATCAGGGCTCGACAAACCGCTGTTTCTACTTGCCCGTGGTGAGTAGATTTCAGCTGGTTGCTCTGTGCACCCCATTCACCGGCACTGCGCTGGTGCATGCACGGTGCGGGCAAGTAGCTCTTGCCACAGTTTGTCGAGCCCTGGTCATGATAATTATGTTAAAGGCATTCTGTTAAATGTGATTTTATATTCATTTGTATAAATTGCCACAACTAAATTTTTAAAATTGAGCCTTCAGATTCTAAGATTGTTTTTAAAAAATCTAAGTTTTAGTTGCAAATATTGAAATTAAACTATCTAATGATGTCTGATTGCATCTGCAGACAGACAGGATCAGTAACGCAAAATTGTGAACTGTACCCATTAATTTAAACAGGATATGAACACTAGGAATGTTAGATATTGGGTAACTGAATAGTCGAGTAACTACATGAATTCTAATTGGTTACTCATCTATCTGTAGTACCCAGGGGTAGGGCCAACGACAGGTGCACTCTGGCCCCACTCCCAGGGAGCTCTTGCCACCTCACACTGCTGTCTCTATCAGCCTCTGTCAGCGGGAAGCCAATCCATGAAGGGAGCACGTCTAAAAACCAGCTCTCCATGCAGACCTGCTGCCTCGTACTGTTGCTTCTCCTCGGGCAGCAGCTCCTGTTCATGGGAGGGGGGAGAGGGGGTGTATCCAAGCTCCCTGCAGACAGGGGCTGCTGCTGGGTACCAGCCTTGCTCTGCGACAGGCCCAGACTCGCTGCAGACAGAGGCTGCTTTGGGGTAGCCTCTCCTGCCCCACCCCTCTCCCCATGTCCCGGTGCTGCTGCCTCTAATGGAGGGGGGGGCCCAGCAGCGCAGTGGGTGGGGGCAGGTGGCAGACAGAGGTTGGTCCCACAGTGGGGTGTGGGATGCAGGTAGTAGACAGACTAGTGCAGTGGCAGGGGTCAGGGGACACCACAGAGCAAGTGCTGGGGGAACAGATAAACCTAGGCTTATAGGTTAATCATATAGTAGACTATACGTTGACATCCATAATTAACACTGAAGCACAATTATGACAATATAAGTAACACTGTTACGCTGTTCATTGTTTTAGTAGAAACATCAAACTACTGTGTTTTATCCCGCACTGTGGGATGCAGCTGTAATTATTTGGTCAGCATGAAAAGGAAATAGCCATCTGCAACTGAGTTTCTGGAGTGGGGAAGCAGAAATTCATGTGATGCTTTACCAAATTCAGACTTGCATCTGCCCCTCCACATAGTTGGCCCCTTAGGGTTTCAAGTACCAAAAGCATTGACTGACTTTTATTTTTTGATAATCCTCTCCTATGGCTTCCTTGTTGCTAAAAGTCCCAACTTTTCCATAATTAGTAGTCAAAACCCAGCCTTTTCTCTTAACTTCAAAATGTGGGTTTTTTATTTTAAAAAAGAAAATGAGAAAATCTACACCGCAGTGAAAATGAGGGAGTATTATAGCTTAAGTTAAATTTAATAGCAAATTAAATTATACAGGTTATGTGGAACTGATTTAACTGGTCTGAAATGGGCATGATAGGGAGAGTGCTTGGGGCTCAGTATTGCACATTATTTAGGTTTGCTGTACTGTGTAAGAAGAGTGGGACTTGTCTTATATTTCATTTGGGCTGGTGGGAATCTGTTTTTCTTGCCAAAAATAATTAATTTTGTGTGTAGGTTTTAATAGATATTAAACTGAAATCTTCTGTGCCTGATGGCTGTGGTTTGCATAATTAATGATTAAAGCTAGTCAGCATATTTCAGTTTCTATTAGTATAGACCGCAATGTTGATTCAGAAACTACTCTTTAGCATTTAGAAAATATTTCTCTATGCCATTTTTGATTTTTAAAGTCTTTCTTCCAGCAGGTACAAGGAGCTGCTTCTCCAGCAAGTGGAAAACAATCTGGAAGTAGTGAACGCAAACGAAAAGAACCACGAGAGAAAGAGAGGGAGAAAGAGAAAGAAAAGAATAGTTGTATTATTTTGTAACAGGGGATGGATTTTGCCAGGAGTCATCAACTGCATGTCCTCAAACAAAAACAAGGAATAAAATGAAGACAAACCCGTTACATGCCGCCTGTGCCTGATTATCCCATGGATTTATTCACGTTTAAGGAGAGGATGGGTGACTACTTCGTTACAATCATACAGACTTTCTTCAGAGTTATACAGCGTGCTCTGCGTAAGATGGAATTTCATTACAGTTGGATGCGGCTGTGCTTCAACTCAGTCACAGGAAATATTGCACCTTGTAGCTAAACATACAAATCATGGCAAGTTTTGTGTCAGTGACATACATTTCGTATAATATCAGTTAGTAAGCTATTTCATCTTCTGATCTAAACAAAGAAAGGAGGTAATTAATTTTGTCCTGAAATCTTTACATCAACACAACAGAATCCTGTATTACTTCTCATGGTCTGACAATATAACTTAGATTGTGTATTTATGGTTTTAGACCCCAATGAGTGTTGAAGCACGCTGCTTCAATAACACACCCAGATTCCTTTAAATCAAGAGCCAGTAGACCATTCTTTAAGTGATATATGTGTGTGTGTAGGGTTAATTCTACCACTCATGGCCTTTGCCCTATGCAGAAGTTATTTGTTAAACAGCATATGGATAATTGTGTGTCATGTGGGTTGTCTGTTGATAAGCAAGATAAAGATTCATTATTGCTTTTGTCACAGTTATAAAGCTTGGGATCACAACTCAGATCTTATCAGGGTCAGACTCAAATAATGTAATAGTTTTTTTTCTTTGTTTAGTATCTTCTGTTACAGGTAAACTGGACCAGAGAAGTTTTTGTTATTTGACTTCTCCATGCAACACATGAGCAGTGGTAGGAATCTGAAGTCTCTAATAATGCTTGTCCTGTGTAGGAATGCAGAATTAAAATGACTAACTTAATATCTGCCTTTGTCCAGAAGTACTTTTCATAATTAATTAACATCACTTTAATGTATCCACTTGTATATTTAAGCTAGTGTACTGTGTATAAATACTTTTAAAAATTATGTATAGTAAAAAGCACACTTTTTGCAGGGTGAGAGAAAGGATCAACTAGTCTCTCAAATTGTTTGGAAAGGCACTCAGATATAGTATCACTTTTTTGTTTAAATCACTAAATGAGAATTATGGGAAACTGCTACAGAAATAACCAGTTTTTCTAATTTATGGGAACCAAATAAACATGTTACATCTTGTAGTATTAAGTTACATAAACAGAATACTTGTTGAATTTTATTATGAGGTTACTACAAATCCTTTCATTTAAGCAGGGAAAGTCAATTACTACCTTGTTACTGGTCTTTTTGATAAAGTTATTTAGCAATTTGTAGACATTTGAAAAAAATGCTTCTGCTGGAAAACAGTTCTGATTCACATTTTGAGTTTTGGTAAGTGCATTAATGTATCTGAGCGTAGAAAAATTGAAAGCCGCCAACTGGAATATGGTACTAATATTGTGTGGCTTGAGGGACGTCCACAGAACTCAAAATTTAAAAAATCCCTCGATTTCTGAATGTGAGTCCAGAATTAAATAAATGCTATAGAGTTGTTTCAAACAGAATTGCCAATGTAATTGGAATGAGTCATTGCACAAATCTGTTACATATTTAAATAAACAATTTGGTTGATAAAGTAGGAATAGTTTTGGCAATAAATGAAGGGCCAGTCTGGATAACTGTTTCTTCTCAGCTTTTTAAAATCAATTTGTTATAAAAAGGAAGTTGTTATACTGAAGTTATGATGACTGAAGGGGCTCTCTTTCAGACACACCTTAGATACAAAATTCTTTTTGTACTGGGATAGACTTTTTGTATACCTTGGTAATTACTATAGAAAGGTCATTAATACTTTTTTCAAATGTATGCCAGTTAAAATAATGGTATTCTCTGTCAAATCAAACAATTTTCCATATTCCATTTGCTGAAGCAATCCATTTCTTCAGACAAGTTTATACTAACATAACCAGAAACATAAATGTAAGCGTTTCCTTTAATCACAACAGAAAGTATTGACATATTGTATTGGAGGGACAAAAGCTTTTAACAATATTTTTTAAAAGTCAGTCTGTTACTGAAGAGAGACATTTCCAAACTCAGTTACATTTAATACTCTTGAAAAATAAATGCCAAGTTACGCTTTTGTTACCTTATTTCCAATGACAATATTACCATTTCACATTCACTTTTAAAACACATTAACAGATGGTTATTGTTAGTATCAAGTACATCTTTTCTGAAAAAAAAAAAAAAAAAAGAAAAGTTACTCAGTGTGCTTTCTAACATCAGAGAAGTCTGTATAATATTCCTTCTTCTTGTCTTACTGACATCCCTGAAACATAATTTGATATACTTATGGTAATATTAATATATTGAAGTACAGTGGAAGAAAACAAACTTAAATGTCAATTTTTGTTATGAAAACTTCAGATTTTCCAGATAATTTAGTTTTTCTCCTTCAATAAAGGAGTTAGGTTATGTCTACACTACCCCGCTAGTTCGAACTAGCGGGGTAATGTAGGCATACCGCAATTGCAAATGAAGCCCGGGATTTGAATTTCCCGGGCTTCATTTGCATAAGCGGGGCGCCGCCATTTTTAAATCCCCGCTCGTTCGAACCCCGTGCCGCGCGGCTACACGCGGCACAAACTAGGTAGTTCGAGGCTTAGGCTTCCTAGGCCTACTAGTATGCACACATTAATTTTCTAGAAGTAAAAGAATAAGAGCCTCAATATTTCTCAAAACCTTAACCTATCCATACCCTTAAAGAGCAAACTGACATGAATTATTGTGTGTCAAATGACAATATTTCTGAAATAGGTAAGGGTATGTCTACACTACCCCGCTAGTTCGAACTAGCGGGGTAGTGTAGACATACCCTTACCTATTTCAGAAATATTGTCATTTGACACACAATAATTCATGTCAGTTTGCTCTTTAAGGGTATGGATAGGTTAAGGTTTTGAGAAATATTGAGGCTCTTATTCTTTTACTTCTAGAAAATTAATGTGTGCATAGCACAGCTTGGTAGTGAACAAAATCATAAATACATAAGCTGGTATCCAATATTACATGAGTTTGGTGGTCTTAATTTCCTACTGGACTGCTAGCTACATCACCATATAAAGAATACAAAGATTGAGCATTGAGACTGAACTACTCTTAACTCTATTGGTGGTCTCCTCAAATAAATATTGGGGAATATTGAGGGGGGGCACAGTAGGAAGAGTTGTACCCCTAACTCTGGTATTATATTCTGTTCTCCAGTGCTTGCACCTTGCTACCACAATAAGTTTATTTTTAAAATTGACTTGTTGTTTTTACTCTATTTTGTTAAAATACTTCTGTGTGGGGCAGGGGGTTGGAGCAAGATGTACTCTTTAGGTATCTCCTTATGATATACAAAGATGGATAAAGAGCTATCAAGGCAAAGTATATTGGGAGTTCATAGAAATCCATTTAACTGCAAAATATAATCCTTATTTATTATCTCAATTAATCTAATTAAATTTCTAGTATAGACATACTCCTGAATGAACTACCTGCCCTTCCATTCCTTGTTTGCTATTTATCACACTATTGTGGCTTTAACAAAATACAGGACTATGTAGCACTTGAAAGACTAACAAGATGGTTTATTAGGTGATGAGCTTTCGTGGGCCAGACCCACTACCTCAGATCAAATAGTGGAAGAAAATTGGCACAACCATATATACCAAAGGATACAATTAAAAAAAATGAACACACATGAAAAGGACACACATATTGTATCCTTTGGTATATGGTTGTGCCAATTTTCTTCCACTATTTGATCTGAGGTAGTGGGTCTGGCCCACGAAAGCTCATCACCTAATAAACCATCTTGTTAGTCTTTCAAGTGCTACATCGTCCTGTTTTGTGTTTCAGCTACACCAGACTAACACGCCTACATTTCTATCACTATTTTAGCATTAGGAGTTCAAACCATAATGGTTGCAGTGTTGCATGGGGTTGCTTCTGAGTATTCAGATTTGAATTTACAAACTTCTTAAAATGACTCCCATATTGAATAATAGGACATTGACAATCAATGTTGTTCAACACACATGCAAAAAAGAGTATTCACTACTCTAATTTGAACTTTACCTTTTTTTCTTCTGATGAGGCATATAGGAAAGGTATAGTCAGGGGTGAAAAGAACTTAGGACAGTACCTGTAAGAAATTTATCACAACCCAGCTCCCTGCCAGCTTTTTAAATAGCTCCCTGCTTGCTTTTGCTACAGCTCAGCCAGTTCTTGCCAGAGCTGTGTCCTGGGTTGCACTGCCTTATTTCCTCTCTGAGTGTAGTCAGCCCTTTGCTCAGTTCAGTTTCCCAATAAATACCCTGCTAGAAATGTCAAACCAATAACTGGAGTTTGTAAAAGATATGTGGTCCACGATGTATCCAATTGTATGTAGTTTCTAATGGTTTTATTTAATTTAGAATATTTGACTTTTTTAAAACTTGAGTGTGCAACTTTAAACAGCAGGCAGCCTGCATGTTCCTAGGTCATGTGATTTCATTCACAGTTTCAATATTCAGGTAAAAGCACCAAACAGAACATTAGTTTGATTGTACTGGGATACTGTATTATCCCATACGAGCTATGACAAGTTGTTTGCAACAAGAAAGGGGGTGTTATATGTTTGACCCTTGGTTGATTGTCCAGGTCCGTTTAGAAGGCTGTTCTCTCACATGCAGCTGGAATATTCCGAGAGAACAATTCTCTCTGACATATCTGGAGCACAGTGTATGCTGGCCGGTCCCATCTTCCCCCAAGCAGTGCCTGACCTGCCCTGTTAAAAAGAAGGGAACAACTGATTTTTGACATTACCCCAACTTGTCTCATTTAGGGATGCTTTTGTCTTCTCTTCTCTTCTTGTACTGCTCCTGGGCTAAGAATGGGGCCCATTCTGTAGGGCCTCTCAGCAGCTCCACTGAAATGTCAATCTCAGAGATTGTGTTGTCATGATCTTAAGCTGTTTTTATCTTAAAATTTCCCTCTGCAGAGCTTGCTGTAGTTTAGACGCTCATTGCTGTTTTACAGCTATCAGTGTCCTAGTTTATAGGCTTACTTGTTCATATGAAAAGGCTTCATATTTTAAAAGTGATCTGGCTTGAATCATTCTGTTTCTGAGAACTATAACTGCATGATTGTCAGAAGTAGCAGAGGCTGATTTCCACAGGGAAGCAATATTTTGAGGGCACGCAAAAGAGTTGTTTTGTGGAAAGTCATTTATCATGTCTGGAATCTATGAGGGAACACTCTAGTGACATTTTTTAAATTCTGAATAGGAATCTCATCTATTTTAAAATAGCCAGCTACAAAATACTTTGTGGTGACTTTTTGCTGTGTGCATTGATTTATCCCCTTGTCATATATATAGTAGACCGATGTCTGAGAGTCTGTAATGCTGGCTGTTCCCTCTGGGCAGTGCTGTTGCCTGAAATGCTGGCTGTTCTGTCTGGGTGGCCCGTGTTGCATGGGGAGTGTGAGGCCCAAACATCCGCGTGCTCCTCCGTGGCGGCCCGGCTCAGCGGCGCAGAAGTCAGCCAAGTGCCATGGAGGGAGGGGAAGAGGGCAGGGCTGTGATGTGTGGTGTAACAGTGGCTCCAGGCCCTGCCCCCTGGCCGTGAACATCACCACTCCGTCCCCCCTTTGCCTCCCATCATAGCACTTGGCTGACTTCTGCGCTGCTCAGCCAGGCCGCCGCGTGGGAGCAAGTGGCACAAGCGACCATTTGGACTCTACACTCCCCATGCAGCATGAGGAGCGCGGAGCCCAAAAGGCCATTTGGGCTCCGCAGTCCCCTGAGTGAGAGGCAGGAGGGGGAGGAAAAGAGACCGAGAGAGAGGCAGTAGGCATAGGAGAGCTGAGAGGGAGGGAGGGAGGGAGGGAGGAGGAGAGAAAGACCGGAGGCTCAGGAGATAAGACTGACATGGAGGAGAGACCTGAAAATCCCATCTTATGACGGGCTAATTGGCTAGTATTATCCTGAATAATTTGTTGATGTATTTTACATCTTAAATGGAGTGAGGCATCATTATCAGAATTTTACCCAATTCCATGGTTCCTAATGCTATATAGGAAACAGGGTTTCATTGTAGTCATGGTTAATGCAGTCAGTCTGGGCCGAGAGAAAGAGTAAAGTCTTCTTAACAGTTTCTCTGCCCCAGAATTCTTAGTATCAAGACAAGTCTCCAAGATAGTAAAACTTGCTCTAATGATTTTTTTCTTTGAAAGTCGGCATTTTCATAGGCCTGGGCCTGCCTTTTATCATTGCGCTAATAGTGACATAGCTGAGTTAAAATTCAGCTACAACTTGACAATTCTAGCTTCGTGAAATGTATAACTATGGGGAACTTAACCATTCTGCCATGGTACTCTAGAAGAACAAAACTATTCTCCCACCATTTCTTTTAACATAAAATCCAAGAGTGGGCTTTCTAAAATTGCATTGGCCTAAGTGTTCCTATTGAAGTCAGTGATAAAACTCTGACTTCAGAGTAAGACATTGGGATGAGACTTTCAGATGGGCTCATCAAATAGTTATTTTTATATTTTTAAAGGTGACTACTTTTCAAAGATCTCTTGTGGGAAAGAACTGATTCCTATTATGTCTCTGTTCAAGTCTTCTGTTTTGTTCACTGGTATAGCAAGGACATGGCTAGATCCATTAATAAAAGAAATACTGAAGAGTATAAAGTGACTTTGCAACTACATCTATTTTAAAAGTAATCTCTTATTTCAGTAAATATGAATCCCAATGCTGTGCCTCCATCAGTGAGTTCTCTTTTATGCTTTGAGAATTCTGCTATAGAAGATAGTATAAAAGGGTACAAATGAGAACTCACTTTGAAACTAAATGTATGGCTGGTCGTGATTCAATATTTTCTTTGAAAAGTCACTTCTAGATTTCCTTAAGTGGCCCAAGAGTTTTGATTTGTGGAGATGACAAAACTGAACTGATGCATGTAACCTAGTTTTAGTCCATGTTTACTTATGTCTAAAAATTGGTCACTTTAACAATAAAAATGGCTAAATACACATAAGGGACTTAAACACATTTAATTATAGTTCTGACATAGTATTTGGGTATATGTTAACCTTTATTAATATTGACAAAACATTAAAAACAACTTTAGATATTACTGAGCAGAGACCAAGGACACTAGACTTATCAACTGCAATCCTTTAAAACACTGAACTATGTTTTGGAAAAATTGGAAGCTGTGAAAAGGTTACAAAAAACATTGTTCTGATACCATTACCATGCACCATTTTAATATTTTTCCTTTCCAAATACAGGGGAAAAGGAGGAAAATGTAGAAATAGCTATAAGAAAATATGGTCTTATCCTGTGTCCCTTACTGTAGAAAATGAGTGGGATTCTTCAAAAACATCTAAAGGTTAAACACCCAACTCCCATTGAAAGTCAATAAGAATTTGAGTGCCTAGCTCCTTTACGTGCTCTTGAAAAATCCCACCCTATGTGGATAATGTGCTGAAGACAGAGTTAGATTTTTCTGAGAGGACATCTTCGGCCATTTTGCTTCAAGTATTTCAAAATGCTATTGCATTTTTTAAAAAAATTTGGTAGTATTGGAAGGTGTCAGATGGACAGACATGGCTGAAATTTTTTCTAGATACAGAACAAGAACAGCATGGGTAAGAGCAGATAAATGCTTTTTACAAGGTTATATCTCCTTTTCTGTTTGTCATGTTTAAAACAAGCTACTATCCATTCATTATTACAGTGTATTAAGTATTTTATTTCATGCTCTAGAAACAATTGATGCTTATGCTTTCCAGTCTATCAGGGCTAACAACCTTAAGACCATTGACAAATAGAATCTTTATTCAATAGGTATGTATATTCATGAGTGTAGTAGATCAGGATATATATATATTTTCTTCACACTTATTGTAAGACATACACAGAAAAAAAGGTGCCCAGCATCTTAGAGGTAAAATGAATGACGTTTTGCAAGCGATTTAACATGTACTTATGGAATTCCAGCCCTTTCCTTTCTGACTTATCCTGTAATCTTTAGAGAACAAAGATTGTTTCTATAATCTCTTTCAATAACCTCCCCAATCTTTTTTTTTCTTTTTTCACTCCACTTGCCTTTGACAGACTCCACTACATGTCTAACTGAGCCATGTTCTACCTCCCCTCCTTTTTCCTCGGGCTTCTACCTTTGTTATACTAATGGCAATTATTTTTATGCAAAGGATACACAAATACCTATTTTTTGTTTTGTTCATTTCTACACTTGGTCGTCTTCTACATCAAATTCTTATTCTGGTAATTGGTAATAAAAGTACCTTTTATCTAAATTTCCCATTTTGACACTCATTCATCCCAGCTGTCATGAAATCAAATGTTTGACATCATTTCCAAATCTTTCCTCTTAACTGTACAAGATTTATTATTTGAGTATAACAACTCCAACTGTTCTGTCTAAACACACAGGAAGAACAGTCTCCATCCTGAAGCACTTACATTCAAAGATTTACAACTCTCTGTATGGTTAACTAAACTATTTGCCAATTTTATTCCAAAATATGTACTGCCTCTTAACTTTCAATTTTAAAACCACCCTAATGAAGATGGTGACAGGGAGACTGAAGGACATGACTGCAGCACCTTAGTTTTTGTACTTGATATGCATATTTAGTAATGAAACAGCTCCTTTCTCAGAAATCTAGTGGCTGCATGTACATTTCCAGATGAAGTGTATTAATATGGAAATTGAGTTTCCAGGTCCTTTCTTGTATCTCTGATAGGGACATTATTCTCCCATCTTTCACCTCCTCCTTTAAAAAGTACATCTCCTGAAGTCCAAAGCTTGTTTTAACTATACATTCATGTTTTCTCGAATGGAACAACGCCCTTTGTGCCTTGCAGTTTCTCAATGCCAAGTCTTTTTAATAAATATAGCTATTGCACCTCTGAGTTCTACCCAAATATAAATGGACCTGCCCTATTTATAATGAACTGGATATAGCTTAATTATTTCCATGTATGTACTAAGCTGTGATACTCTTCTATGGTCTCATAATTTCACTATCAAAACTGCACTCATTTCAGATGGTGCTATTGATTATGCTCAGGTTCATATTTTATACCTTTATTTCTAAATTTCTGTTTTGGAAGACTGGAAGAGTTACAGTCCTGTTCCAATTCTCCCTGCTAGACACTCACTAAACTGCTACTTAGTGTTTTCCAATCCTCTGGACCTGGATAAACTCAATGGCAGTCTCTCTCTGGCCTCTACATTTGCTCCTCAACCTATAGACACTGTCTGGCACCTGTTCTCAGCATTGAGACCATGTTGTAGCTATCCTTGGCCTGTGCTGCACTCTTAAGATTCCCCAATAGCTTTGTCACACCTGCTCTAGTGTGCCACTCTACTGGATGCTTTGGTGTACAGTTAACCCCTTCTGGGATGTATAAATGAGGAAAATATAGAAACTTTGCAGAAGGATTTCTAAACCAGTCATTCATTACTTTAGCACAAAAGACATCCATATAAACCACTTGTACGCCATTCCTTACCTCAGTTTCCTCACCAAGAGAGTGTTCTTTCAGACTCTTGTCTTTTCAGAGTTGTAGCTCCTATCCTGAACTTCACTCTTCTAGTAAGTGCAGGTCTGGACCATGGGGCTCAGGCTTCAGTCCTCGGTCCCAACCTGTCTAAGCCATCCCTGGACACCCCATTCAAACAGCCTTGCAATCCACTTCGGGGTCCCGCTCCACAGTTAGAGAACCACTGTTCTAATCCATCACAAGGGGTAATAATGAAATAGTAAGAATTTAAATAGTCAAGAGGAAAAGAATGCAGAAAAATTGATGTATAATCATTTACCAACTCATTCATCTGTAAAATGTATGTAAGCTTACAAAGATGATTTAAGCACTTGGATGAAAATGTACTACACCAAGAACTATCTACAGTATTTTTCTGAAACTCAAAAGAATGACAAAATGGCTACTGACATGCGGAAAAAATTCACAGTAGAATGAAAATTAGATATATACAAAGGGTTTGACAAATGTTGACATTTGATTGTTTTCTTCTATTGTAATATTTGTGCAGAATATAGCAGCATGAACATTTACATCTTGGTTTTGACTCCTATTTTACAGACCAGTTATTCTGATCAATTACTTGAATGGATATCAATTTTTAGAACTGTAACAAATGGGTGTATCAATAACAATCCATAGTAATGATCCTAACTCAGTGGAGATTGTTGTAAATTCACTGGAAGAGTTTAATGCTTTAAAATATAGAGTTTGTGCTGTACAAACCCTTGAAGCCTCAGAGCTTGTCTTCACTAACATGCTGTGTCAGTGGAGGGCATCAAGTTAGCATGTCTGGTAAAGATGTGCTATGTCAAGAAGTGAGCACTCTCTGGCTGTGTCTACATTGGCATGATTTTGCGCAAAAGCATGCTGCCTGTCTACGCTGGCGGGGAGTTCTTGCACAAGAACACTGACATTCTAATGTTCTAATCAGTGCTTCTTGCGCAAGAACTATGATGCTCCCCCTCAGGAATAAGCCCTCTCGCGCAACTGTTCTTGCGCAAGACGCCAGTGTAGACAGGCAACATGAATTCCTTGCACAAAAAAGCCTAATGGCTGAAATGGCCATCAGAGCTCTCTTGCACAAATACTTTAACGCAAGAACTCTTGCGTTAAAGAGTATTTGCACAAGATCATGCCAATGTAGACATAGCCCATATGTAATTTCTCCACCTCTGCAGAAGGTAGAAGCTATGTCAGCAGAGGAGTGTCTCTTGCTGACCAAGCATAGTGTAGATAATGCTTTATATTGATGTAACGTGCATCGCTCAGACATGCCTTTTACATACTACTGAGCATTGTAACTTACATTAACTGCAGTAGTAGTGTAGAAAAGCCCTCAAATATACTCTTTGGTGCTATTCGCTAAGGGTAAGTCTACACTTGCTCCCTAGTTCGAGCTAGGGATGCAAATGTAGCCGACCTTAAAAATGAGTAATGTTAGCCAAGGGATTTGATTTGAACTAATGCGGCCCGGAGCGCACTTCCTGGTTCGAATCAGCTGTTGAGCGGAATAACGCACGGACAAGATTATACTAATGAAGTACAGGATATTTAAATCCCCGCTTCATTAGCAATTTTGGTCAGCTACATTTGCATCCCTAGCTTGAACTAGGGAGCAAGTGTAGACATACCCTATGATTTCCACTTTGTGAGCAGCAAAGGCTAGCAGTGCAGAAATTAGTGTTGCCTGGTTCCTGGGACTGAAAAGTTCCCAACTTTTTTTTTTGGTAGGTTTTGGGCCTTTTCTCCCTACTGAATATTTCCACAATCCATTAAATCTAAAAATCCAATTCTCAATGCCTTCTTTAAAAGTGTGACACTTGACTGGAAATGAGCAATGAGTCTGGCACTCACTGTACTTTGGAGTCAGTCTCATAATTCAGTCAAAGGTTGCACAGCTAACTTAACATGTCTATCAGTATTATGTATTTATATAAAGTCCCCAGCAGTAATCAAGACTTTTGTAAAGGCATGAAGATTGGACAAAGAAAAGATTCAAACACACTTAAGATTTAGCTACACTCTTCGGTTGGATTTTCAAATGAGTGTAAGGGAGAGGTGCTAAAATGCCATTACTATTATTTGAAAATCCCAGCCATAGTTTCCCTTCTCTAGCCCCATTTTCTTCATATTGGGAAAGGGAGAGGTTTAAAAATATGAACAAGTAGTAAGATTTACTTTCATCTTAAGTTTTTAAAAGAAACTCCAACCTGCTTCTATTAAACTTATGGATTTGATTTTTATTTTTTTTAAAGATTTGATTTTAACCTGACCACTTTATAAAATACTGAATTTGTTTATAACAGCCTGAGAAGTTTGAAAATGCAGTTCTTGTCCTACCAAACTTCCTTACATTTTGGTAACCATTACCTTTCTCTTCTGTTTGTAATAGAATTTATTCTTATACATCAATATACATCTTATACATCAGTGCTCAAGCATCAATTGTTCTCCTTATTCAAGGAATAATATTTAACTACTAGTATCGAACAATAAGAGGGGACTCAATCATGTTTCAGATACTATACATCAAACATGTTTTTAGTTGGTAAATCTAGATATGTATATAATAATCTGCAAGGTTCTTTAGGTCCACATGTTGGTGTAAACACTTTAACAGGATGCTTTTAATGGATTTAAATCTTGATAGGTTTAAAAAGGTCAGAAGAATTGTATAGAAATTTTATATGCTAGGAAAAAAATTGTTTTTACATTTGCCAATGTTTTGATATTAGTGAGCAATGCACATAGATATAGCAAACTAGTAAAATTATCCTGTTTATTTTAAACTACATCAAATTCAGCACTTTGTATATAGCCTGGTCACAAACAGCTGCAAAATTATCAAATGAATATTCTATTTGGTGTACTTTATTTGCAGCACAACATTTTCCTTTCTGGTATATTTGATAGTTGGCCATTGAGCCTGTGGGCAAAAATAACCATTGAGGTCTTGTCAGAAATAAATTAGTGGCCGTGTCTGAGAACTAGCTGTATCGCAGGCAATTGGATTTGTTATAGCAAGTGTCTTCATGTTAAAATACTGTAATATTATTGATAACTCTTGGAATGTTAGTTCTCATTATTATGCACATCAGTGAAATGAGCTGGACTCACCCTTTGATACAATTTGTACTTAAAGTAAATATTTAATATTTTTTTCCAACATTGTTGTAACGTTGCTATTTTATCACAAACTACTGTCCTTGCCCTGTGCTTTTACATTTATTGTAATGCCTATATATGTTCTTAATCACTGTCCGTGGGTTTTAACTTGCCAAAATTTGATAAGATTGACAGAAGAAATCAATTTTCTCTCCTTCCCCTTTTGTATGATAGCCCAACAAACTTCAGACACCATACCAATGAGTGGAATCAATGGCTAAATAGTGAACATTATCACACCCACTTCCATTTTCAAAAAATCTTGTTAGCCATGAAGTGCCAATTCTTAAGCAAAAAGGGTCAGCTTTAGGGAAAATGTAAGTATTTTTAACCAGGGATGGCTGTATTACCTCCAGCTGTCCCATTCCTACTCTTTTGTAGTAGTTTGATATAAATAATGTTGTACAGCAGACTTCCTACCTTTCTATCAGGGCATCCCTCTGACTGAAAGATAGGATATATCAAGATTTTCATAATTTTTCTTTGGTTAAGCGTTCAACATTGTCTTAAGTATTACTTGTAGAAACACATCTGTTTTGTTTTTTACAATTGTCTTTTGGTAACTTGTTTTATACAGGTATATGGACTTACGTTAGCAAAAAGACATGCTCTATAATATTGGGAAATTTCATACTACAAAAGTTGCTGCCAGTGCAGCAGCTGCTCAAGGTAATATGGTAACGAAGTATTTGTTCTTCTATTTATGAATTACTTGATTTTGATACTGGGCATCTTGTTTTACAAAAATTGCAAACATTTATAAGATTAATTCTTAAGAAAAAGGTCCTTTCGAAGAAATATTCCTATTTAAAACATTTGTAATGGATTTAAGCTATCTTGCCTTAGTAAAATGTACAGGAAAATGAAAGAAAAGACATGTAATTGTTGAGCAGCATTGCTTCTCAGGCTTCATTGTTTTTATGAAGCTTTAGCTGCCAGCTATATGTCTTTGATGCACATAAGACGACAAATCACACTATGAAGATGTTTTTTTCAAAATTGTTTCCAGAGGTAAACAAATTGCATATTGAAAACTATACTCAAAAGAAGCATAACTAAATTTCAGTCATGCCAATAGTCAGATATAGGGCATCCCTATGGGAGCTGTAGAGCCTGAGGCAACCCCTCCAACTTATACCCCTTTTCCACCCCCTTACCTTGGGGTGCTAGCCTGGGACCTGGCATGGGGTAGCAGCAGGGTTTGCTCCTTCTCCCTCACATTTACCCTGGTGGCTGCAACCAGAGTAGCATGACAGCCTGCTTAGCTTTGTCCCGCCACACTTCACTTCTCTGGGACAGCAAGAAGAGGAGCACTTTGCTTGCTACTGCAGGGAAGCCAAGTGCAGCTGGCAGCAGAGAAGAACAGCTTGCCAGGCCCTCCAGCTCCTGCAGTCATGATACAGGCAACCCCTGCTGCTGCCCTGCACCAGACCCCCCAGGTAATCCTCTGAGCCCTGTGCATAGAACGGTTGAGGCTGCTGCCATGGGGCCCTCAAAACATGGAGACTGCCAGCCACCCTGAAAGATGGCACTGGTCAGATGCACACAAATCCTGCTTTACAAAGATTCATATGAAAGAGGGAGAGGTTTCAGTTCTTTGGGTATCTAGTACTGCATTGCATCTGAGTCTTTGCACACTGGATCTGTTTTGCATTTTAAAGAGTTTTAGCACTTAATTTGTAGGTTGGAAAGCATCAATCTGTTTTACATAATCTTTTAAAGAGAATCATTTAAGGAACCACCACGACCCTGGTAAAATTTCTGATTTTCAGAGAAGTCTAACTTTCTATGAATTAGCTAGATGAAAATTAGCTTTTTAAACTTTCTGTATTGCTAGAAGGGAAAAGGCATTAATATTTGAAGAATCGCTGGTAACCAGACCTTTCTTTACACTTTGAACTACTTAGCCTGCCATAGCTTATGTATGAGACAAGATGGGTGAGGTCATCTTTTGTTGGACCAACTTCGGTTGGTTGTCCCTCTCACCAACAGAAGTTGGTCCAATAAGAGATCCTACCTAACCTATATTATCCTGGGACCAACCTGGCTATAACAACAGTGCACACAACAACTTGTCTATGTGAACAGTCCCTGAGAACTTAATCTGCATGAATTGAACTGAGTTCTAACTGCCAATCTGTTTAATGCAAGTTGAATTTTGGTAATCAAAATTCCTTCCTAATTACTGGTGTATAAAGGACCATTTACTAATTATGGGCCAATCTTGGTCATCTTACTGGTGTAATTCCAATTAAATCAATGGGGTTATTTGTGAGTAAGAGAACAATTTTTCAGTTTTTTCTAAACCATTTGCAGAAGAGCATAGAACAATTTGTGAGGATTAAAGTTGGAGTAACTGTTCAATAACTGCTGTATTTAGCCAGGCCATATTTATCTACAGTGGACACAACCTTTCAGGTATGGAAACAGGATCAGAATGACACTAAAATTTAGTCTACAGATACGTAAAATTGTTTTTAAACATTGCTACAACAAAATTACAATAACCACACGCACAAACACACACACCCAAGCTGATTGAATTTGAGATGTTAGTCAGTCGATACCAAGTTATCTTTCCTAGGTTTCACACCATGCCAGCAGAGGTATATAATATTCATAGGGTAGATACAATGAAAGCTTTTTAAAAGTTACAGTTCACAATGCTGTTAGGACATGCATTTGTGACTGCTGCTCCTGCAATGTAGCATATTATCTATATATTGATACATTTGTAATCCAGTCCTCCAATATGCATTGTTCAAACTAAACTCATAACTGAATTGTGCTTATTTCATAAACAAATTATTCCTGTACAGTTAATTTTATATGTAAAATAAGATTAAACACTTTTGAATGATTGTGGATTTTGGCTCTTGAGAACCTAATTTCATGATACAACTTTGATACATGCAAATGTTGCAACAATTAAAAAATTATTGGCATCAAATCCCACAACTTTTTTGAATTTACTTTGTGTTTGAGGTGTAAGTGCGGATTTTTAAAAGCCCATTTAATCCCTCCAGTGTTAAATTCTGGAGGCTAAATTGTTTAATGTACATTTTATCATGCACTGATATTTCAGGAGGAGTACATTCAGCTCCTTTTGGTATTCTGTTTTATATGAGTTCTCACACACTGATCCTTGACAGATTTATGCTCATATGTAAAAGTCTTCAGCATTGGGACCCAAGAGAGAGAGAGTTCTCTGTACAGAATCCAAAGGTATGATTTATGAACATGTCTGGAGGGCTGGGGTTCACTGGAGTTTCATGGTGACATTAGCCTTTCAAAGGCCATCTTTCATTAACTCCCAACAAGCAACAAATGAGTAGTGTAGTAAAAACTGATTTTATCTTTAAAAAACTGGTGAAGGTGTAACTTCAATCCACAACAAAGTCCTAATTAAAACAGTTTTGGTCTTTAAATTCAACCTAGTAGGCCTAAATATTCTGGCCCCTCTACTCACTAGGAATTTGTAACATGGTTATATCTGGTCAAAATTGCACTAAAATGGCAGTCTCAGGCTTAGCTTTTGTGCCTTTCTGTAGTTTGAGTTTTTAAATAAAAAAGCCAAAGTTTGCTGTGATTAAAATTTTGTATGAAGTTTTAGCCTAAGAAATGGAGTTACAACCAAATAAGTGAACTCTATAAATAAAGTGATAGACCCACAAGTATAAAATTTAAGATGTTTTTTTCTTAAGCAATGGAGAAAATCATAAATGTCCTTTTAATGGTAAAGCAATGCTGACTCCCTAAAATTCAATTAAACATTAAATCGATAGTTCTCAAGCTCTATCCTCCCATGGATCCAAAAACGGCTTGCCAATGGTCCCTGGAGAACTTAGTAGTTGAATGACACTAGGTCCTCATTTGCAAGTACTAAATAGCATTTAAAAAAGTAAAATACTTTCTCATGTTTCCAAATAAGCTATTGTAATTTTTCCATAGGGATTGTTATTTGATAGTAAATGGGGAGATAGATGGTCCGCAGTGTAGTAATTTAGAATTGCTTTCTTAATGATAACTCATTTGCTGTTTTATCTGCTTCTATACAGCTGAAAACATAATGTTGACCGTTTGTACATTTGTTAAATAATAATTTAAGGTTTTTCTGTTTGGTACCATACTTTGATTTCCAGCCATTTAGTACCCTAGATTCCAATAGAAAAAGCTAACCAACCCATTTTGATCTTAGTATGGATATTTGTGGGTGTGGCTAGACAAAGCAGATAAACACATCAGAGAAAATTATCAAGGTCTGCAGAGTTGAGTTACTCCCTTTTCTGAGCTTTAGCTTTCAGGTATGTAAATATTTTTAGCAATGGCTACATTTGAAAGAAACAGCAAAATTGCAACAGGGTTCATGAGATTGAGATCACATGAAGTGGCATGCATTAAATACAGAATTCATTTAGCTAAAGTGGCTCACAAAACTGGCATACTGTATTTGGCACAGTTAACCATCTGTGATGATGGTTTAATCTTTGCCAACTGAAAACTGAAGGTTCTGGGCACATTACACTATTGTCTACATCTACTCAAGCTAATGGGAATGTAGGCCCCTGTACTATATTGCTGCTTGATCCATAAGGCACTGTGCATATTACATTACCCTTGTGGAAAATGCATATTTTGTATTTGTAATACAAAATAAAATGCCTCACTAAATTAAGGGTTAATTATAATGAATGGTGATGTTAAAATTACAATGAATTTTAACATATCTTGACTTTTCTATTGTACATCTTATTTCATTTTAGTTAACATACATTATCTAAATTATTTTAGAAATAGAACTTTATTTAGGACCAAAGATATGTTTATGCCAGAGTATCTGTTTATAAACAAGATAAAACTGTCCCATATAGTTAGAAATTACAACTTTCTCTGCATTTGATTTCTCTCCTTTTTTTCCACAGCTAAAGAATTAGGTAGTTTCATGATTGTGCCATACTTTTAATGTATCTACACATGTGCTTATGTAATAAATGTGTACCTTGTTACAGTCTCACTCACTCTGACCTATTTTTTTCCCTAACTTAAAAAAAAAACTAACAGCTGTTTGAGATATGTTGCTCATGTCCATTCCAATGTGTGTATGCACACTGTATTCACAATCATTGGAAAACTTTTCCTCAGCAGAACCCATTGGGTCAGTTCTGGCACCCCACGGTGTCATGTACATATACCCCACTGACCCAACTCCCACTGTGTTACTTCTTGCTGGAACAATCCAGCAGAGGGAAGGCAGGAGGATCTGGAATGGACAAGAGCAAGACATCTTGAAGAACCATAAACGGTAAATAACTATTCTTCAAACGATTGTTCATAAGCATTCCATTATGTGACTTACCAGCAGTTTGTATGGAGGAGGGGTTGGACCTTGATTCATTGCTGAGTGTAGTACAGCTTTGTGGAACATTGCATCATTCTGTGACTGCAGCTGATGGCATAATGAGGCGGGAAGGTGTACATGGAGGACTACGTAGCTGTCCAGCAGATGTCCTGATCTGGAACTTATGCCAGAAAGGCTGATTATGTGGTTTGCACCCAAGTGGGATGCACTGTGCTAGGCAAGCCCAGCATCTTGGCCAAGTTAGAGTATGGCCTGATACACATAGTGATCCAGGATAACAGATGCTGCAGTGATGCAAGCAGGAGATTCATGTGCTCCACAATAAACTACTAAAAGTTGTCAACTTGTGAAATGCCTTATGTGGAGTAAAGCAAAGGAACATCTCCTATCCAAGGAGTGCAGGGCCCTATTCCAGTCCCCGGTTTGGGAGGGAAAAAAACAGGGAGAAAAGTGTTCTGGTGGATGTGAAAAGGCACCACCACCTTTGGCAGAAAAGTAGAATGGGGCACATTGCTGGTTTGCACAGCTGCCCTTATACTTAAACACAATATATGGAGGCCTGGAAAGAAGAGCTTGCAGCTCTGAAACCAGTCTGGGGGAAGTAATAGCCAAGAGGTAGGTTAGAGTGGAAGTAGTTAGGGGCTCAAATGAGGGGCTGAGAGCACACCAAATTCAAGTCCTACAGCAGCAATGACTGCCTCAGATGAGGGTACAACTGATCTAGACTTTTAAAGACGTGACTCACTGCTAGGTCCCCTAAGAGGGACGGACTTCACTCCTGAAGCTGTGTGGAAAGTTGACAGTGTTGCCAGGTGTACTTTAATGGAGGAGCAGGGGAACTGTGACCTGCTGGTGGGTACCTTTATTTAGGCACCACCAGGAGAACCTCTTACGTTTGTGATAAGTAGAGGGCTTTCAGCTGCCCCATAAGTCTTCCCTGAGGGTCCAAACACTGGAGTGCAACACAGTTCAGCCATGGAGCTTCCACACCACTAGGTGGACCATCTCCAGGTTTGGGTGATGCAGTTGGTCAAACTCCTGCTTCAAGTGAGGAACCAGAGGGAGCACCATGGAAGTGGCCACCACCAGGGACAGCAATGTGGCAAACCAGTATTGCTGTGGCCATGTTGTTCCTATATTATCACATGGACAGGTCCACCTGGGGATGGCTTCACTCTTAGAAAATGGAGAGAGTTACAGATGCTCTGAGGGACCATACTTGGGGGCCAAGGACAATGAGGGTTGGTTTTTTTGCCTCTTACGCATGTGGCCTCGCAATACAAACAAGGTCCTTCCCCCCACCCCTCCCCTAGTCCAGTCACTCCTACTTCTAACTTACAGAGACATGCAAGGATTAAATGGATCCTGGATGCCAAATGTAGGTCTTGTTCCTTAGGACTTCAAAAAATACCTTTAACTCCTCCCCTCAGCTGAAATGTGGAGTCAGAGACAAACTAAAAATAAAACAAGGACATTTAGGGCTCCTGTTGAGATTTATCCTACATCCTTTTAAGAAAAAAAAGTGATTCTTCACATTCATGAAATCAGAGAGAACACAATTTTTTTAAATTGCTTGCATAATATCTGATATTTTAATTAATTTACATCTTAATTTAAAACAAATTGTCTCCTGGATACAAGTTACTGAGTTCTGCTGGTAGCACTATATAACCTCGGGTCAGTGACTTTTCCTTTGACTGCAAAGAGATGGTTTGTATCGACTGTCAGCAAGCAAAACCATACTGTCTCTTATGTAGCCTATTTATTGCATTGCCACACAGGAACACACGGCTTGTATTGAAAACGTGTCAGTTTTATTCTTCTTTGCCCCATCAGATGGAAAGTTCCAAAAACTTACCAGGAACTATACAGAATATGAAGGTTTATTTCAAAAGAATACATTTGGAAGAATACACATAGATGCACTCAATGTAACAGTACCTTCTGCAAAAATAGGTTACATAATACCCAGAAATGCAACAACCAACCTTATTCTCTACAAATTAGAAAGCAGGTTTTATAGCCTGAACAACCTTCAAAATGGAGGTTACTGTTGTGTATATTCTAAGTAGCTAAGTTTAAAGCGTGACACCACAGAGCTAATGCTGGTAAATTAAACTACTAGCACACAGCTGCACACTATTCCTTTATATTTATACAGTGTTCACAAATATTTTGGTTCCAACTGTTTTGGAAAGCTCTAGTGCCGCAGGGAAAATGCTTATCAAAGATACACAAAAACTATCCAAAATTACAACGCAACTATTAAAAATGCCTCCAAAATTCAGAGGGAAAGTAATCATGTTAAAATTAAAAAAAGTGAACAGGATTTCCAGACAAGAGTTCCTGTTCATATCTAATCAGGTAAAGTTTAGGAGAGATTTCAATAAGTTATCTTGAAACCAAGCAGCTGTGGATCCTAGAATCTTCGTGGAGGTCCACCCTTAAACGGCTTAAATCCTGAGCCACTTCCCCTCTGCATGGAATTGCTTGTGATCTGTACAACTCTATTAATTGGTGAAGAGTTACTGGAACAAAAAAAGGTTTAAAAACAAATGTTAAAAGGATATTCTGAGTGGAGGTGTTATGAGTCTGCAACAGACGTGTGTGCGCCTAAATGCTCATATTGTGGACTAAAACTGTAGAACCTCAGAAGATGCTTGGTACAACAATGTAAGCTTTATTGACTAAGGATATTAAGAAGCAGGTAATCCACTCATCATGTAATAGATAAAATTTGTATTGACTACACAATAAGGGAAGGAATCCTCAGCCACAGCTCGTACTGGGGAGCAGGGAGCGTGCAGTCAAGTTGTTGACTACTCTACTATTCCTGACAAAGAGGAAGTTGCATATTTTACAGTAGAATACAGTGACGCAGCTGAACACTGCTGCTGCTGAATAACTTAGTAGCAGTGCAAAGAATATGTTGCATTATTACATAAATTATCCAGGTTCATGACTAACACCAGGTCTACACTAGACCTGTAAGGTCAAGTTAAGGCATGCAACTCCAGCTATGTAAAGATATGTGGCTGGAGTTGGTCTACCTTATGCCAAGCTTGGCACTATCCTCACAAAGTGAGGCAAGGAGTATTGGTGCTGATGGGAGCCATCCTCAATATTCGATTTAGCGTGTGTGACATGGTGGACTAGGCCCAGACATCCCTGCTGGAGGCCTTTTCACACCCTGCCCAGCAACAGGAGCAGAAGAAGAGAGATCCTCCAAGCAGAATAGAGTGGCAGCCTCTGCAGCTACCTGTCAGGGTGCAGCAGGCAGATATAAAAGAAGCTGCTAGGCCAGGGCCTGCCAGTTGCTTGCTGGAGTTTGACCCCTAAGGGCTGACTAGGAGATAGCAGCACTCTGGACAGCTCTGAGTGAGAGCTGGACTTCAGACCTGATCAGAATCAGGTCCAGCAGCTGAAGATGAGCCAGTAAGCCAACGGCAACACTTTGCAGAACCCTGGATGGGGAGGACTTGACCACAAGGCCCAAGAGAAAGGGCTGGACAAAGCAGCTTCTGGGGGAAGTGGCCATGGGAACATGACAGCAACCAACCTCTTTGAGACTGAGCAGGTAACTGCTACTCACAGGGTCCCTGGGCCAGGACCCAGAGGAGTGGGCGGGCCTGGGTCCTCTCCAAGCACCAGCAGCCACAATGGGGTAAGAAGCCACCTGGTTCCATGCCACATACTGGACACTTCCTCTCCCAGACAGCCGAGCAGAGACTATAAGACTCCCCTCGACCACTGAGGAGTGCTCATAAGAGGAGTGGAGCCCTTTACAGGGGGTCTTTCCTAGACCTGCTAAAATTGAATACCAGAAGATCCATCTCCAGCATGGCCAGTGAAGATGTGGCCTAAGCCAGATCTCGTGGGAAAGATCAGGTTAATGTTGTGCTGCAGCAACCCAGAGACATGTCTTCACTTCCCAGAAGATCGATACTGCAGGAGTCGATCTTCCCAAGTTTGATTTAATGGGTCTACTAAAGACCCACTAAAATCAAACGCCGAGGGCACCCCATCAACGCTGGAACTCTTACACCTCACCAGGAGTAAGGGAAGTAGACTGGAGCATTTCTCCTATTGACCTCCTGCTGAGATGACAGTGCCGAAGCTCAGCTTCCGTGTGGCCCTTGCTTGGTTCTTATGCAAAAGGATTATCATCACAATCAAGAGCTTTGAGAACTCAGTGACGAGCCAGGAGAAAGGAGCATTTTTGTACCTTGCATGTGGAGACATCATGCCACCTCCTCCACGGCCATCTCCCATTCTCCTTGCATCATGATACCCGCTGCCTTGAGAACTAGGTCCATGCCATTCCTTTCTTGGTCCAGTTTCACGACTATGGCGTTCAACAACATGTCTATCTTCATTATAATGCTAGCAAAATACACAGTGATTTATAGCACCTCTAAAAAGGTCACATGGCTTAAATTGCATTATATTCAGTTACTTGAAAGAAACATTTCATGCAATGACTCTGGTTTCCAGCCAATATACTTATAATGGAATTTATCTATTTCACAATTCTGTATTTAAAAGGTAAGATCACTTTACAAAGTCAAATATTAGAACTGGCTTTTCTAAGTCTGCTCCTCTTGCATAAAAATACCATTTTTAAAACAATGCTAACGTGTGAACTCCTTTGTGGAAGTGTTTCTGTTCAGGTTTTGTATCTGGAAGGTGGCCTTGTTCCATGGACTATAAATTAAGAAACCTGGATGCCACATCCATCTCTGACTGACCTGTTTTGTGACAGTGTGCTAGTAACATTACACCCTGCCTCAGTTTTCCCACCTGGGGAACAGCAATAGCTGTCCTTCCTTTGTGTCACACACAGTTAGGATAGTTAATGTTATGAGAGAAAGAATTCACTCTTGGTGATTTTTGGTCAGTCAGTGTGCCACTAGGAAGATTGTAATTACTGATAAGAAGTGCCAGCAAGGGCAAGATTAGTAATTGCTCTTAGGATTTGTTTCCAAACACTTTAGAAAGCAGGGTACAGAATTGTCTAAGACATTATGCTCAGCCTCTAGGACAGAGGTGAAGAACTTTCTCTATCCAACAGGAAAAAAAATTCAGGGGTCACAAATGTGTGAAAAGCAAACCCCCTTAAGGTGGGTCCAAAAATGTGGGGTTCAGTGTGCAGACGGGGGCTGCCAGAAGTGGACTGGGTTGGGATTAGGGTGCAGTCTGGGCAGGGGTAGGAGATTGGAGCATGTAGCTGGTGCAGCTCTAGAGGCTGCAGGGAAGAGAGGAGAGGACAGGTGGCACCATGCGGCCCTGTGCTTGCAGGCACTGCCCCCTGCTGCTTTCATTGACCATGATTTCTGGCCACTGGGAGGAACAGGGATGGAGCCTGTAGGGAAGCATTTCCCTGCACTGCAGTTCCCCCCGTCTGGGGGGAGGGACAACAGCCACACGCTGTGCAGCTTCCTGTTCTTGCCATGCAGAGCTGGTCACACAGGGTCTTTAATGCCAGCTCCCCACTGCTTCTCCCACAGCAGGTAGCTGGTGCTTGTGCTCCACCCATGTGGGGGTTGGCTGAGGCTCAAAAACTTGATGGCAGCTCAAGTGCCCTGGCTTAGAAGGGAGGGAATGGGAATCTGGACCACAGGGTGTAGAAGGCTGAACTATATTCCAGTTAACTATTTTCCCACCAGTTGATTTGGTATCGATTCAAATAGCAGCTACATCCATTGTTCTGACCCACCTGAAGTATATTAGATCAAGAGAAGTAACAGGCACTCATTTTTTGAAACAAAAAACAGGACTGTGTAGCACTTTAAAGACTAACAAGATGGTTTAATAGGTGATGAGCTTTTGTGGGCCAGACCCACTTCCTCAGATCAAACAGTGGAAGAAAATTGTCACAACCATATATACCAAAGGATACAATTAAAAAAAAGTGAACACATATGAAAAGGAAATCAAATTTCAGAACAGAAGGGGGATGGGAGGGTAGGGGGGAGGTAAATGTCTGTGAGCTAATGATATTAGAGGTGATAATTGGGGAAGCTATCTTTGTAATGGGTAAGATAATTAGCATCTTTATTCAAATTTGCGTGTAAAGTGTCGAATTTAAGCACGAATGACAGTTCAGAGGATTCTCTTTGAAGCGAAGTCTTAAAAGGTCTTTGAAGCAGGATGCAGGTAATCAAGTTGTTGAGACAAATGTCCTTTCTGGTTGAAATGGCAAGAAACTGTTTTTTCTTTGTGATCCTGTCTGATATCTGTTTTGTGGGCATTGATCCTTTGGCGAAGTGTCTGAGACGTTTGTCCAATGTACATAGCAGACGGACACTTTCGGCACACGATTGCATAAATTATATTTCTGGATGCGCAGGAATGTGTGTTCTTGATCTTATAACTCACTTGGTTGGGTCCAAAAATGGTATCAGCAGAGTAAATATGTGGACAAAGCTGGCAACGGGGTTTGTTGCAAGGGAAGGTACCAGGGTTGGCATTAGTGTGGTATGTCCTCTGGTTCTTGGTAAGAATCATCTTGAGGTTAGGTAGGTGTCTATGGGTCTGTCTCCCAGAGCCTCTCGGAGTTTGGTATCCTGTTCCAGTATAGGCTGTAGTTTATTGATAATGTGTTGGACAGGTTTAAGTTGGGGGCTGTAGGTGATGACAAGTGGTGTTCTATTGTTGGTTTTCTTGGGTCTCCTTGAAATACTAGGCTTCTAGGTATTTGTCGGGCTCTTTCAATTTGCTTTTTTATTTCTCCAGGTGGGTAGTTGAGGTTTATAAATGCTTGGTAGAGATCCTGAAGTTTCTGGTCTCTGTCAGTGGGATTAGAGCAGATACGGTTATATCGAAGGGTTTGGCTATAGATGATGGATCGTATGGTGTGTTCTGGATGGGAGCTGGAGGCATTTAAGTAACTGTATGAGTCAGTGGGTTTTCTGTAGAGAGTGGTGTCTAATTTTCCATTGCTGATTTATACTGTCGTGTCCAGGAAATGGATCTCTCGTGTATAATGGTCCAGGCTGAGATTGATGGTGGGGTGTAGGTTGTTAAAATCTCTGTGGAATGTCTCCAGTGTTTTTTGGCCATGTGTCCAGATCATAAAGCTGTCTGGCCCATGAAAGCTCATCACCTATTAAACCATCTTGTTAGTCTTTAAAGTGCTACACAGTCCTGTTTTTTGTTTCAGCTGCACCAGACTAACACGGCTACATTTCTACCACTCATTTTTTGGGTATTTAATGGAGAGAAACATTAACTTTAACATTACATAGCAGCACAATACTATGGGTATAGAGTCAGCTCATTCTCTAGCAGCTTCAGTAAACATTGAACAATTATAGAGAA